TAAAAAGACAATAAGGTCTAAAGTTTGATGAATTTTTTTGATCGTCCAAATACAAATTTTATTACATCGAATAGATAATTATTTGTTTGATTATCTTGATTGTATTGCCTGCTACAAATTGACATATCAAAACTCTTTTTAATTTTATTCTACAAGGTAATCACAAGTAAATAGGTCTTTAAGTATTATTTGCCATGCATATTTATCTACTTCAAGGGTTCCTCATAGCCTTGAATTGTTCGGCATGTTCTTCATACCTCAATCTATTTTCTCTTATCTTCTCTTTCATTGGTACCATTTGTAACTTGCACTGAATGTATTTTCATTTCTATCTTTTCTTATAACCACCCCAGTATATAGCAATCCCAAAAAACAAGAATTTTACTTATAGCTCAAACATCATCACATGCAGCAGAAAGTTGGATTTGGCAGTTCAATCTATTCAAAATATCTACGTCTATTAACTCAATGCAAGAGTGAGAATACCAATTAAGCACATAAACATGTGGACATATATACATGTAAACACATAACAAACTAAATTACACTTGCAACTTTATGTCTTAGAAAAGAAGCATCGACACAAAGATGTTTCTAGATAACAATGACTCAAATAAAGCAGGCAGGAAGCATCTCTTTTAAGGGGCAACAGGCAAACAAGTAGATGGATATTCATGGCTTAATATATAGAGAATCTATCTCTCACTGGGCTTTAGCTCATTGCTCATATATATATGTAGGTGTTCAGGCACCGGATTGAAGCTAGAGGCGTCAGGGTTACTCCAGTTTTGTCAAGCCAGCCTTTGTGCCTCACTGCGAGGTTCCGAGCCTAACGTGTTAGGGCTTAGGGGTGTTTTACAATTCCCCCTTTTGTACTGTTTCACTGTTTTGTATAGACTGAATGTTTACCGTACTGTTATCTAGGGTTGAGTCCCTAGTCTGAATGATTGTAAATATTGTGCATACTGTTCTGTACTGTTTACGTATAAATGTATGAAAAATCTTTTTATATAGATTGTCGCAGCTCATTGGGCATTGTTTATTTACTGTTTTGGCTTCCGCCAGGCCCTGTACTCTGTTTTACTGTATTACTGTCCTGCAGGCCTTCGGTAATCTCGGATTACTGGTCGGTTACGGTGCTAAACCCATAGGGCCGGGTTTGGGTCGTGACACCCGTCTCGGGTTGCGGTCGAGCTTCAGGCCGTCCACGAGCTGCGGATCAATTTTACACTCTTATCAATGTGAATGTTAACATGTCAATGTGAATATTCACATTGTCAACGGGCCGGGTTGGGCCCGCCCTAGGCCGCTGGCTAATTTTACACTCCTGTCAATATGAATGTTAACATGTCAATGTGAATATTCAGATTGTTAACAGGCCGGGCCGGGCCGGCCATGGGTAGTGGGCGGGTTTCGAGCAGCCACGAGGTGCGGGCTAATTTTACACTCTTATCAATGTGAATGTTAACATGTCAATGTGAATATTCACATTATCAACGGGCCCACACCGGGCCGCAGGCCAATTTTATACTCTTATCAATGTGAATGTTAACATGTCAATGTGAATATTCACATTGTCAACGAGCCGACCCAAGCCGCCCCGGGCGGGTTTCGCGGCGCCACGGGACGCGGGCCAATTTTACACTCCTATTAATGTGAATGTTAACATGTCAATGTGAATATTCACATTGTCAACGGGCCCGGGCCGCCCCGGCCCGACTCGAATTTTTTCGGGCACCCACGAGGATCGACATGGGCCGGGCCCCTATACATTGACGATATGAACATTCACATTGACGGTGTGAACATTCACATTAGGGGTATTTTTGTAATTATGTCACCCATAAGACTCATTGAAACATAAGAAAATAATATGAACTAAATGGAACATAAATAGATGAAAATGGTATTTTGGTCTTCTTATCTCAAATAGGACCTAATGGAATAGTAAAAAAGAATATGGGTTGGATGGAATAAAGCTCTTAGAAAGTGAATTTATCAAAAAAGTTCCCTTAGAAAAACGAGTTCAGTGCAATTTAAATGAAAACAACTTTTACACATGATTTCAATTATACATTTTCTTTTAAATTTTAAAAGTATTATATTTAATTTTTAAAATAAATTTTTAATTAATTATTTAAAACCGTGCATAGCGTGAGTTTTATACTAGTAACTTATACATAAAGAATGCCATTGGTCATTCTTGGTTTAATTTCTAGAAACATCAAAAATACAAATACGATTTTATCTATTACTACCTACTTATAACTTTTGTTTAATTTAAACTACATAGTCTAAACTGACAGTGAATTAAATGAAACTGAATTCATTAAACAGTATTGTATAAAATAACTATAAATTTAAGAGGTACTTACGTGTAGGTCCTAATAAGTGAACTTATTGTCTAATAGGTCTTATGAGAAAAATTTGTCATAAAAAAAGCCATTAATTGTAAGTTTTAGCAACAACTTATAAAAATCATGATAAGAAAAAGTCGCTAATTGTTAATTTTTAGTGACATATATAAAAAATTGTCATAAAAAAATTATTTTTAGCGACAATTTTATCAAGATTTATTTTCAATATGACTTTATAGGAATTAAGTCTAATAATTAGGACTTGTTGGTAGTTTATCCTAAATTTTTGAACTGCATAATAATAAGTATAATAACAGGAGGCAACCTTACATTATTGTACAATGAATATGATTATTAAAATATATATATATTGCAAATCTGTCATACCTTATACATGATTTCTTACCTTAAATAAAATTGAAATGTAAGATATGTATATGTATATATATTATGGTTGTGTAGGACGTTTATTCTATATGTAAGATATCTATATTAGGTATATATATTACGGTTAAGTAGGAAATATACAATAAAATGCGTATGTATAAATGGCATTACGGTTAAGTAGCCGGGGCGGGCTCGGCCCGTTGACAATGTGAATATTCACATTGACATGTTAACATTCACATTAATAGGAGTGTAAAATTGGCCCGCGTCCAGTGGCGGCGCAAAACCCACCCGCGACCCATGGGTAGGGATGGCAATTTGAAACCGGCCCGATGGGGACCCGACCCCCCGACCCCTAATTGAGCGGGTTTTCCCCCGAAAAATACCCCCGACGGGACAGGGATGGTATTTAAAAATTAATCCCCGAACAGATTCGGGCCAGGGACGGGGATCAGTGTCCCAGCCCCGTACCCAGGCCGTCCCCGTCCCCGTCCCCGATCCTGTCCCGGTTTATCCCCGATGTTAAATTACAATTTTACCCTTATATACATATATATAAGCCACTGACTTCACTTTCTAAATAAATAAATATATATATATAAAGCACTCACTTCACTTTCTAAATATATATATATATATATAAAGCACGGACTTCAATTCACCCTCAGATTATTCAATTCACCTTCACTTTCTCAGTCAGATTATTTTGAGACCCTCGTCTCTCGGTTAGACTCTCTGTAATATATAGATCTGTCTCCTCTCCTCTCCAGTATTATTCAATTAACCCTCAGATCTCATCTCTCTCACACTCTCGCACATCTCCTCCTCCTTAGCGGCGCCACCACGCCACTGTCCAAGACGCCGGAGTCGCCGTATAGCTCGCACCGTCGCTTCACTCTCGCCTCTCTCTTCCACCTCTGTCCACCCACGTCCGCCTCCTCCATCGTCCATCATCGCCGCCGATCTCCTTCTTCGTTCGTCAGTCACCAAACCAGATCTGAGATAAATGATTCATAAAAAGCATAATAATTATGACACTTATTTTTTATTATTTCGTTTCTCATTAATAAAATTTTATTTACAAATCTAAAAGTATAGAATTATAGTAGAAAAAAATGAAATTAATGAACAAAGAGCAATGCTACAAATATTACTGAAAATATTATTAAAAGCATATATGCCCAAGCATTATTGGGTGACTAAGTATTATTATTATTTTGAATAAAGATTGGAACTCCCTTTTTTTCACCTTCTTTTGACCTCTTTTTTTTTATTGGTCACTTTTTCTTTTTGTTTGTTTGTTTGTTTTTTTTTTTCTCCTCCTCCAATCACCATCCGCCACGTGTGTATGGAATGGTGGGGATTGAAATTTGAGGGGGTCTAAATCATTACTGTATTATTTTTGACATCAATTATATTTTCTCCTGTACTTTTTCATAAGAGTATTAGTAATTGTTCATGAACAAGTAGTTTAATACTTGGGCTTCTTTTTATTCCCTCTTTAGCTTTGGTTGTCCTACTGTTCTTTCCTAAAGCACTAAATAACTAAGAGCATCTCTAATGGTAGTAGGTATTTTACCTATCTAAATATTACTATAAAGTATATATTTTATTTTGCCTGTCAACGATTTCATGTTTCTACCCCAACCATGCTCTTTATTTTAGCTATTCATCCAAATATTATTAACTTTATAGAATGCCACGTTAACAACAAAGATGGAGGGAAATAATCTTAATGATTAAATACATTTTGCCTAGCCTTGAAGGCTAGCTACATGTAGCTAGTGAATGTGAGCTGAGCCAAAATGCCTAAGCATATGCCTACTGCATTGGAGTTGAAAAAAGTGAGTCACATTAGGCATTTTGACTAACAAGCATCATATGCCTAGTGGTAGAGCATCTCCAACGATAATAGGTATTTTACATATTTAAATATTACTATAAAGTATATATTTTATTTTGCCTATCAACTATTTCATGTTTCTACTCCAACCATGCTATTTATTTTAGCTATTCATCTAAATACTATTAATTTTATAAAATGAATCCTCAAGTCAACAGAAGGAATCATTTATGCATCAACACTCAGCATATCGCCAATATTCATCCGGATAATTGAAATTCAAATCATTAAGCACACAACTATTTAGATGAGATAAATACATTAAAGGGGGGAAAAAAAAAAGATCAAACACTAACCAGCAAATTCACAAGGACAAACCAGAGAATTGGCTTAATTTCACTGTACAATTCTTGAATCACCCAATATGAGAAGGACCCATATCACCAGTTCGAAGAGATCCAGCGATCTCATCAGCAACAGTCAAGCATGATGTGATCCAACCACTCAGGGCCAACCACACCATCCTTGCCATCCAAAGGGTCATCCCCCATGGCACTGCCATGGTCTCTACCTTTTCTTCACCAAATCTTGAAATTTCTTGCTCAGACTGAACAAGTAATCAAGACCCAGTACCCCTTTTCCTGATTCAAACAAAACCCATTTCAGGAATTTTTAAAATATATGGGAATACAGACGCATACATATGTATATTTTCTTGAAGAAATCGGATGTGATTGGGGATTTTGAGATACCTTGTTTTAGTGAATCTTCTAGGAAGATGATCGAGCAGAAGGGATAGATAAGTTTTTTCTCTCCGTAGTTTTCAAGGTATTAGCTCTGAAGTCGGACGTGATGTAACTGCAAAGTACAACCATCAAGTATCAAATGTGGAATTTAAGAGGTAATTGCAGCGGAAAATGTTTGAGGATCACAATTTTTGTGATTATTATGGCTTAAAATTATTAAAATGATGTTATTTTAGCATGTTTTATACCTAAAATGATGTCGTTTTGATAGTTTTGAGCCATTGTGGTCACAAAAATTATGACCCTCTAGCATTATTGAATTGCAGCCCACTGTAATGATGAAAAAATAATAATTATATTCATGAATAGATTTATAATTTTAATTATTAATATTTATAAAAAAAATATTTCTTTGTAATTATTTTTTTAAATTCTACTGATTTGATATTTCTCTTAAAAATAATAACGCAAATTATAAATATACTCTCTAAAATTTAATTAAAATATATATTATTCTGTATAATTTTGAAAATTATAAATACCCTTTTGTCAAAAAAATTTGTTTAACATAATTAACATAAAAATTAAAATTTCTAATTACCCTCATGTACAATCATAAAATTATCAAAATTATTAATTAAAATATATTTCTGCCATCGTTAAAAACTATTAATTGACTTAATAATTGATTAATCAAATTGGTCATTTGTTATGAAATTAGAAATTTGAAAGAGTAAGTTGTAATTTCGAAAATGACAGGAGCAATTTGTATTTTTAAAAAATCTCAAGGGATGTATTTATAATTTAACCAAAACAATACGAGCAATAAAGACTAAAAACAAGTCGAGTCAAATTGAGTAATAGGTCGTTCAAGTTTTTTTTGATAACTTAACAACTTTAAAATTATGTTAAACAATAAGACGATCTCGAATGAGCTCTTAATGAGCTGAACACGAGTCGAATTCAAATAGTTTGATTTTTCTTATAGTGTATATAAGCTTTATCGAGCTGAATAATAAGTTTTTCAAGTTTGAATTAAAAACTTAACATGTTGAAAATTGTATTTAAATTTAACTTATTTACATAACAAGTCAATCTCGAATAAATTTTTAACGAGTAGAAAATGAATCGGACGTGAGTAGCTTGATTCGTTTGATAGTCCAATAATCAATTCAGTCTTTATTACAGCCATCTAATTTGTGTAATAGTTACTAATTTATAATTTTTTACAATACTAATTTGTATAATAGTTACAATGGTATATTTGGTAATGTCTATTTTTATGATACATTTATAATTTTTTATTTATATTCATAAAACTTATAAATAAAAAATTGTTTGATATCTATTTTTATTTTGAAAAACTTGTTTACAGAATTTAGTAAATTATTATAATAACAAAATAATAATAATAATAATTTCACTTATTTAAGAAAAAGTTATCATTTTTTCTTCTTTCTCTTGCACCGTCCGGCCACCCCAGCCTCCAGCCACTATTGTTGGTGACCTCCAACAACCCTACCACTCAAACCAACTTTCGGCCAACATCTCCTATTGAAAACGATTTTTACTGCCGCTACCACCAGACGTGGTTCTAAATCATACTATCGAGATACGTGTGAAGTTCAATAGTTCTAACATATCAAGCTACCCCGTTGGTTGAATGATTTTATCTTAAATGAATAATTTATGAATTGTTAAGAAATTACTATTTTAAAAATTAATATTAGGTGAGTCTATAATCTGTTGGTCTAGAGTACAATCCCACATCGGCTGCTACAAGAGGGAAGTAAACTTTCTTTACAAAAGAACAGCCTTGTAGTGCATTACGCGGTGGGAGAAAGTTTGCAATATCCCACATCCTTAAAGAGAAAGGCACATGAGAAGTCTCTTTCGTTATAATTTATGAACGGTTAACAAATTACACTAAATTTAGAAATAAAATAATGTTAGATTTTGTTGTAAATTATTATGCAGGTGAGTTTTTTGGCAAGAGATGTCAGTGGTTGGTGGTAGTTCACTACAACAAAACGCACCTTTGGCGACTAAAATTGGCGACTAAAAAAAATTTAGTCGCCAAAAGTTGTGGAATTGGCGACTAAATATTTTTTTAGTCGGCAAAAGTAAAATATTTAGCTACTAATTTTTTTAGTAGCTGTATATTGGTTATTGGCGACTAAAAAATAATTTAGTCGCCAAAAATGTCAGAATTGGCGACAAAAAAAAAAATTTAGTCGCCCTACATTAATTTTTGGCTACTAAAACGACTTAATCGCCGAATGAAAAATAAAAAATTATTTTTTACCTTTGGCGACCAAAATTTTGGTCGCCAAAGGTGTATTTTCAGCGACAAAAAATAATTTTAGTCGCCGTATATAGAGTTTTGGCTACTAAAATCATTAGTCGCCCAATAAAAAATAAAAAATTATTTTTTACCTTTTGGTGACCAAAATGTTAGTCGCCAAAGGTTTATTTTCAGCGACAAAAAATAGTTTTGGTCGCCAAAGAACTAAAATTTTAGGAGGGAGACGTTTGAAATATTTTGGAGGGATTTTTAAAATATTTTCAGCGACTAAAGATTTTAGTCGCCAATAACCATCTTATGTAAAATAAAAATATCTCACCTCTTACTCTTCTCTCATCCTCTTTCATCTCTCTTTCTCTCATTCTATAGAGAGCTGCCTCACACCGTCGTAAGGAGCACCCATCTCCGATCACTCACCACCAAACCTGACGTCGGTTCCACCGTCGCACGTCGATGGCTATCGTCGCAGGTCACCGTCGCCATCGCCACCGCCACCGCCGGAAATCACCACCGCCACTGCTGCAAATCCCAGGTTTTTGTCTCTCTCTCTCTCTCTCTCTCTCCTCTCTCTGTCGCTCTCGGTCTTCTCCCTCTCTCTCTCTCTCTCTCCCATCTCTGATCACTCACCACCAAACCTGACGTCGGTTCCACCGTCGCACGTCGATGGCTATCGTCGCAGGTCACCGTCGCCGTCGCCATCGCCACCGCCGGAAATCACCACCGCCACTGCTGCAAATCCCAGGTTTTTGTCCCTCTCTCTCTCTCTCTCTCTCTCCTCTCTCTGTCGCTCTCGGTCTTCTCCCTCTCTCTCTCTCTCTCTCCCTCTCCCTCTCCTTCCCTTCCCGTATTTCCCCATCTCTCACACTTCATCTAGGGTTTATTTTTGTGTTGATTTCGTAAATGGGTTTCGTTGAAGTGTTTGATTTGTACGAAATTAATTAAATCTTGATGTCCAAAATGGGTTTATTGTGTTTGAATTGAAATTATAGATTTTAGTTTTATGGGTTCATTGGGTTTTTTGTGGGTTTGATGTTGTGACTACACACACTCTGTCTCACTCTCTTGCAGTTGCAATGACTTCTTCAATGTCCACTGCCTTGCCAGTCAAATGAAGACTCTGTTTCTCAACCTCTTCCTGATCTGGTAGATTCTCTTAAATTTTCACAAGATCAACAACCTAATCATTTGCAGCAGCATTCACATTTTTTAGCCTTGAATTTTCTCATTTCTTTTCTGTAATTCTTACCGCCAAATATAGCTTCCTCTTCTTTTTTTGCATCTGCCCATTCTTGTTGTTCTATGATTCTAACTGTTGTTAAAAAACCCAATTGTTGCATTGAAAATTTGTGAACTTTTACAAGCTTAATTTCTATGATTCTAACTGTTGTTAAAAAACCCAATTGTTGCATTGAAAATTTACTTAATTTGCAATAGCACTATGTTTGTGAAATTACGGAGTCCAAAGTGCTTAAAGGGGATGAATAGGTCAAGCAATTAAAATTATTGATTTTAAGTTTAATTTTAGTTGATCAAACAGATTGAATCATGAATAAACAATAGTCTTAAATTTTCACAAGATCAACAACCTAATCATTTGCAGCAGCCTCTCACATTTTTTAGCCTTGAATTTTCTCATTTCTTTTCTGTAATTCTTACCGCCAAATATAGCTTCCTCTTCTTTTTTTGAATTTTGTTGATATATTTAATTTTGTTGGCTATATACATGGTGGATTTCTTTATCCTTTCCTGCACTGTTATTATGTGGGAGAGGTTGCATTATTCAATTTGATAAAGCCTCAATTCCAAGTCCTTGTGGCTACAGAATCATCTTCTACCATTCAGCTCTGTTTAGAGACATGTCTCTCTGATACATTGTAGGCAATTATTTTCCTTCCTCCTTTACCATTGTTTGGGAAATGAAACAAATTAATTACGCAAATGATTTTTTCTTTTCTCATTTTGCTTCTTTTTTTTTATATAAATAATTATAAAAGAATCCAAAACATTGATAGAGAATCAGATCAATTCTGCAATAATGAAGGTGGTTTGTGGTCAAGGAATGTAGTCCCCCTATTTAGAAGACCAATCTGAACAACAGGGATGGAGTTCCCAATTTAGTGTCAGCATCTTTGTGTTTTATTTTTTTATCTTCTCCCTCCTCCAATTTAGTTCCCCTATTTATTACAAAATGCATAATGTGTACCTCAACCCATGGAGGTGTGCTATTTATACAGCAATACTTTGTCTCAGCCTACGTTTCATTTTCCATTTAGGACTCTACTTGTCTACCAAGTATTCCTTATCTAAAATTTATCTTCCTAATTGAGTTGGGTTTAATCGCCTTAAGAGTATCATTTATACCCATGTAGACGCGCCCATGGGCCTCACTACAGTTCGGACTCATTTTGTGTCACGGTCCTTAATCTGAACCAAAGAGTCCAAATCCGGCAAATCGTTTTGAGAAACAGATTTTTGAAAAGAATTGCCAAACATGGACTGTTTTGCCAGATACAGAGTCGCCACCTAAATATTTTATTTTGAGAGAATTTAGGAAACCCTGACTCGGTGCCAAAGGCCACGTGTCCGTCATCACCAAAGTTGCCTCGGCTCGGGAACTTGGGTACGATTGGGGAAGGTCAGCTATGAGCACCCCCTCTCGCCCGATCCGAAGATCGGCCGCTACTAACCATGATATCCGTTTTTGAAAAAGTTATGTGTTCTTATTCCGGTTATTAGCCTAGAATTACTATGTTATGCGCGCAGCAAACGAGTATAGACCAAATCGCCTAAATTGGAACAAAACATTGCATGTTCGTTTTGAAGGTGGTTTGCTACTCGC